GCGGTGGCCGGGAGCGGCCACTGCACTCCAGTCTGGGCGACAGAGTGAGACTCCAATACTTTGGGAGGCTGAGGTGAGAGGATTGCTTGAGTCCAGGAGTTCAATATCAGCTTAGGCAACATAGGGAGACTTGATCTTTACCAAAAAAATCTACTACACTCCAGCCTGGATGACAGAGTGAGACTCCGACTCAAAAAAAAAAAAAGGAAAGAAAAAGACAGTTTCTCTTGTCCATACATGTCTGTCTATCTTTTCCCTCTTCTTTCTCTAATAAACTTTGCTTTAAAAAAAAAAAGGAGGCTGGGCTTGGTGGCTCAGCCTGTAATCCCAGCCCTTTGGGAGGCCGAGGTGAATGGGTTGCCTGAGCCCACGGGTTCGAGACCCGCCTGGGCAACTTGACGAGACCTCATCTCTACAATAAATCAAAATTAGCCGGGCATGGTAGTGCACGCCTGTAGTTCCAGCTACTTGGAAGGCTGAGGTGGAAGGATCGCTGGAGCCCAGCAGGTTGAGGCTGTGGTGGCCGGGAGCAGCCACTGCACTCCAGTCTGGGCGACAGAGTGAGACTCCAACTCAAAAAATAAAAAAAAGAAAAATAAATAAAAGAAAAAGAAGAAGAAGAAAAAGAAACAAACTACTGGTTTTCCAGGTGAAAAATCTTATACCCTTATGGAGAAAATAGATTTATGAGACAGAGGTCAGGACCATTTATTAAAACATTTTTGCATTAAAAAAATTTTTTTTTTTTTTAGTCAAAGTCACGCTGCCACTCAGGCTGGAGTGCAGTGGCACGATCATGGCTTACCACAGTACTGACTTCTTGTTCTCAGGCAATCCTTCTATCTCAGTTCCAAGTAGCTGAGACCACAGGTCAGTGTCACCATGCCTGGTTAATTTTTTAATTTTAATTTTAATTTTGTAGAGATGAGGTCTCACTATGTTGCCCAGATTGGTTTCAAACTCCCAGGCTCAAGCCAGCCTCCTGCCTCAGCCTCTCAAAGTGCTGGGACTACAGGCATGAGCCACTATGCCCAGCCCAAATAAAAAATTGAATATTCAATAAAATGAAACAATAAAGATGACCCTAAAGAGGCAATCATTATATTTTTATTTTCATGCTTTCATTTGTAATAACAGCACTGCAACTGAATTTCCTTTAATAACCGTTTCTTACTAGAAGCTTTACAAGACTTCCCTCCTCTGCAATTTCAAGTAAGTGAATAGAAATTCATTTGCTTTGTTCCAGAAACTATGTGCTATTCTGACAGACAGTTTTTCTTTACCCTACACTCCATATAAATGTTCAAATATTTCATTTTTTATCTGATTTTTGTTATTGCTGTTGCTATTATTACATAGTCTTACCTCTATGGGGGTTCAGAAACTGACGTCTGAAAATATGGTGTTTTGATATGCTGAATTGAAGAAGCCTCGGGGTTTCTCTAAACCACCCCCCCGCCACGATAAAAAAATAAAATAAAATAAAATATTTCTTATACTTTTAGTGCCCACCACTAGTCTATATATATATATATATATATATATATATCTTTTTTTTTTGAGTTGGAGTCTCACTCTGTCGCCTAGACTGGAATGCAGTGGCCACTCCCGCAGCCTCGACCTGCTGGGCTCTGGCGATCCTTCCGCCTCAGCCTTCCGAGTAGCTGGAACTATAGGCGCGCGCTACCAAGCCCGGCTAATTTTTAAAATTTTATTGTAGAGATGAGGTCTCACCTGCCCAGGCGGGTCTTGAACCTGCGGGCTCAGGCAATCCACTCACCTCAGCCTCTCAAAGGCATGGGATTATAGGCTAAGCCACCGAGCCCGGGTCCACTAGTCTATATTAAAATGAAGTATAGGCCGGGCTCAGTGGCTCAGCCTGTAATCCCAGCACTTTGGGAGGCCGAGGTGAGTAGACTGCCTGAGTCCGTGGGTTTGAGACCAGCCCAGGCAACTTGGCGAGACCCTGTCTCTATAATACATCAAAAATTAGCCGGGCGCAGTAGTGAACGCCTATAGTTCCAGCTACTTGGAAGGCTGAGGCGGAAGGATTGCTGGAGCCTAGTAGCTCGAGGTTGTGGTGGCTGGGAGTGTGCCACTGCACTACAGTCTGGGTGACAGAGTGAGACTACAACTCAATAAATAAATAAATAAATAAATAAATAAATAAATAAATAAAAACAAAATAAATGAAGTATAAGAAGTATCTAACAGGCCGTGCATGGTGGCTCAAGCCTGTAATCTCAGCTCCTGCAGGTTCAAGACCAGCCTGGGCAACATGGTGAGACCTCATCTCTACCATAAATCAAAAAGTTAGTTGGGCACAGTAGTGCACACTAGTAGTTCTGGCTACTTGGAAGGCTGAGGTGGAAGGATGGCCTGAGCCCAGTAGGTAGACACTGGGGTGGCTGTGAGCATGCCACTGCACTCCAGCCTGGGTGACAGAGTGAGACACCGACTCAAAAAAAAAAAAAAAAAGAAGTATCTGACAACACCAAATCTCAGTGTTAACTATTTCACGATATTTGAAAGAAGACATGACATCTAGACTCTGCAACTTGGACAAGGCTGAGAACCTGAGTTAATCCAAGTCATGGCCCATACAGAACAATGTAAAATGAGACACAGAGAGAAAATGAAGGGTGTACTGAGTAGTTATGACTAAAGGAATACAAAACTGACAAACAGCAGGGCAGAGGATAACTGTTGAAATGAGCAAAAATAAAGAGATAAACTAAAGAGAGGAGTAGTAGCAGTCATCCTTCTGAAATCCTGAATTCTAAGTCCAGTGGGGTCCTCAATGCCTATTCAACCTCTCGTCTAACCCACGCCGCCTCTGTGCATTTATCCAATGGAGTCACACTTGTCTCTGAGGAAGTAAAAGTACTGTAGACACCCAGAAGTCAGTAGCAGCATAAGCTATTCTATGTCTACACCTTCCCTACCTGACACCAGAGGTAAAGGGTAAGGTACAGTCACAGGAGAGCCCTCCACTGGCACCATGGCTGGCAAAAGGTCGAGAAAGAGGAGAGTAGCAACAGGGGCAGTGAGCACCAGCTCTGCTGAGGATAGGGTGTCAGGCACAGGGTGAAGCCAGGATACCCGGCAAAGACGGCCACACCCTCCCCTCCTTCAGGGCACACCCACTTCCTAAGATGGGATGAAATGAATGACAGGTTCCCTGCTACTCCTATTCCCAGGAGAGCTAGGGGTGGGGAAAGCTTGTGACTTCATCCCAGTGAACCAAACACCAGGGTAGAGATATTCAAAATTTAGGTAGTTGTGTTCTAAGACTAAACTCCCCAGAAATTTGGTCATTCTTCCCTTTCTTTGGTACTTATTATATATACATATGTATATATGTATACCTATTTTACATATACAAAAACACAAATTTAGCATGGAACAACTTTCAGACTCTCCAGGCTAAAAAAACAAACTGATTTCTAGACATTATCAAAAATCACTGAGTGAAGAACTTTGTACACAGAGGTAGCTGGGGACACCTGTTGGCAAACACACAACGGAAAGCAGGGCTCTATGTGATCACCTTCCCTTATAGAATGTCACAGAGCCCCACTGCCCTGTACTCATGACCCCAACAACTTCCACAATACATGTATGTCAAATGTCACTCCAGTAGGAATATACATTCTTTTAGTAGTCCTTTATCTTCGCGTTTCATCTAACTCACACAATAAGATAATCAGGGTAATCACTTTTATTTTATTTTTTCAATATTTTTGAAATCAAGATTTATTGAGAAGACAGAAAAGCTCCCACAGTGGGAGAAGAGCTGAAGGGGTTGCCCAGTGGTAATCACTTTTAAATGATCTGCAGTTAGAGCTTAAGGAACCCCAAATAAGAAATTTTCCCTCCCCCACATTTTTTGGGGGGGAGGGATGAGGAGGGAGGAGGGACTATAAGTGCTTTCCTGTAAGTTTTACAAAATTCTGGCTATTGATTGTTAGAAAACTCAATAGAATCTCTTATTATTAAGAGCAGTGGCCTAGCATGCCAGCTCATACCTGTAATCCCAGCACTTTGGGAGGCTGAGGCAGGAGGATTACTTGAGCCCAGGAGTGCAAGACCAGCCTAGCGAGACCCTGTCTCTGCAAAAAATCAAAAAATTAGCCAGGTGTGGTGGCACACCTGTAGTCTCAGCTACTTAGGAGGCTGAGACAGGATAGCCTGAGCGCAGGAGGTCAAGAATGCAGTGAGCCATGATCATGCCGCTGTACTCTAGCCTGAGCGACAGAGTGAGACCCTGACTCAAAAAAAAAAAGTCTCTACTCCAATACTTGGTTATTTCTGCCCATCCGGAACATCCGGAACACTGAAAGAACATGTAAAAGTCAGCAGCTATATCAGAAAATTAACAGAATAACATATACCAACTTTAAGACTACCGTAACTCTTCCTGTCTAGCCAACTCATTATTCTAATCACTCATGCCCAAAAAGAAATCCAGAAAGCAACATTTCTGCTGGATAACTACTCACTTTGAAATGGTTTGGATGATGAAAACATCTTTTCCTCTTACGGACTCTTGAATCTGTACTCTTGTTTCTGGCAGGAAAAGGAAAAAAGAGGGGAGGGGAAAGTTATAAGTTCAAAATACATTAAAAAATCTGCATACTCCCCAGTGTTATAAAATATGGAAAGTGGAACGGTTACAAAGCAGTAGGCTTTATATGCTACAACAGATAATAAACATATTGCCAATAATCATGCTTTAAAACATGTTTAGTTACTTGATAGCTTTAAGAGGGAATTATATTTCTGACTTGAAATAAGTAACCTATGCTTCTCACCTCCTGTATGTAAAAAGGAGTGAGCGCTAACCACTCTGAGCATAGTGTCTTTGTAGAAAAGTATATATTCATTAATTCAACCAGCATCAACTGAAAGCTAATTAGGCACAGAATGTTATGTGTTGTGAGACTAAAGATAAATAAGACCCAATATCCCAATCTCAAAAATTTTGTCATTAGCCAGAAGGAAACAACTGGACAAATCTAGAATGGGACACTCTACAAGACAACTTCTTCAACGGTCAGTGTCAAGGGAGAAGGTGAGGGAACTATTCTAGATTAGAGATATTTTTAAAAACATATTGCTCTAAGAATCTTAGTTTGAAGGGGAAAAAACAGCTATAAAATAAGACCTTTTAAGACAATTGGGGAAATCTGAATATAGGCAAATATTAGATGACTAAAGAGTTGTTCATTTTGGCCAGGCACAGTGGCTCAAGCCTATAATCCCCCAGCACTTTGGGAGGCCCCAAAGTGGAACCAGGTGAGGGGATTGCCCGAGCCCACGGGTTCGAGAACAGCCTGGGCAACATGGCGAGACTTCATCTCACAATAGATAAAAAAAATTAGCCAGGTACAGTAGCACATGCCTGTAGTTCCAACTACTTGGAAGGCTGAGGTAGAAGGATCTCCTGAGTTCAGCAGGTTGATGCTGGGGGGTGGCTGTGAGTGTGTCACTGTACCTGGGTGATAGAGTGAGACTCCAACTCCAAAAAAAAAAAAAAGAATTGCTAATTTCTTTAAATGTGACGACGGTATCACATTTATGTAGATAAAAGCACTTGCTCTCAGTGGATGCGTGGTCAAGTACATAGGGGTTAAGTGTCTTGATGTTCACAGCTTACTTTCAAATGGTTCCACACATACAAATTCATATGGCAAAATGTTAACTGTTGAACCTAAGTGGTTGACAGACATATGTACTATTCTTCCAACTTTTTTATATGTCTGAGCATATTCATTTGAAATATTGGAAAAGACAGAAAATAAGTTTACAAAAGAATGTGATATGATATTAAGAAAATGAGCTTTATCCAGGTGCAGTGGCTCATACCTGTAATCCCAGTATATTGGGAGAAGGAGGCAAGAAGATTGTCTGAGCCCAGGTGTTCAAGACCAGCCTGGGCAATTTGGTGAGACCTCGTCTCTACAATAAATTTTAAAAATTAGCTGAGTCTGATGGTATGTGCCTGTAGTTACAGCTGCTTGGAAGGCTGAGGTAGTAGGATTGCCTGAGCCCAGCAGGTCAAGGCTCTTCAGCCTGGGTGTCAGTGAGACTCTGACTCAAAAAAAAGAAAGAAAATGAGCTTTAGAGTCACAGAGATCTGGATCTGAATACTGACTCTGCTACTTCTGGGACCTTGTACCTAATGTCATCCCTGAACTCAGTTTCTCACTATCTGGCAACAGTAAAGAATCTATAAATGTTAGTTACAAGCCGGGTGCGGTGGCTCAAGCCTGTAATCCCAGCACTTTGGGAGGCCAGGGCGAGAGGAGTGCCTGAGCCCATGGGTTTGAGGCCAGCCTTGGCAGCTTGGCAAGACCTCATCCCTACAATAAATCAAAAAATTAGCCAGGAATGGTAGCGTGTGCCTGTAGTTCTGGTTACTTGGAAGGCTGAGGCGGAAGGACGCCAGAGCCCAGCGGATTGACGCCGGAGTGGCCGTGAGTGTGCCACTGCACTCCAGCCTAGGCGACGGAGTGAGACTCTGACTCAAAAAAACAAAAACAAAATAAATGTTAGTTACTTCTTTCCTTCCCCATAGACACCAAATATCTTCCCTCCCTTCATTCAGAAATCAACCCCCCTGAGTCTTATACCACTACTTCTCCCTTGATGCTCCTTTCCAGACTCCATACAAAGGATATCATCCAAGTCCCTCTAGAGGGAGAATCATCTCCAAACTCTCCCTGCATAGTTTTCAATTATACTTTTTCCCCACTGAAGCCAAACAGGGAATCTTGGGAGACAGGAAATAGGCAGTAATGGATATAAACAGGGAACAGCAAACTTGTACCTTTTTATCAAAGCTGCCTATAAACTTTTAATATTTAAATACCTAACAAAATTCTATAGTGAAAAAGGAGCAAGGGTATTTATTGAGCATCCACGATGTGCTAGAAATTGTGCTAAGCTCTAGAATTATCCCATTTAATCCTCATAACAGCCCTAATCATTTGCTGTTTAGAAAGGTAAAATAACATGTCAAGGATAAGGTGTAAGGCTCTCAAGCCCATGCAAGCTGTCCATTGCTCCTGCTAGAATAATTGCAAATGTCCACCATTTCTAAAGAAATTACAAAGATGAAATAACACACATTTTTGACAACTTGGGATGATTATGTAACGACATATATCAATTAGTAAAAAAGTATTTCTTAAGATTTCATAAAGTCTAACCCATGGTAGCTTAGGTAGAGGCAAAGAATAATCAATAGAACCATGGTCACATGGGATTTACTCATCCTGCCTACAGTGACAGAAAGTCAACCAGTGGTTGATTTCATGTTTTCATGCCGTTGACCAGCTGGTTCATATGCATACAATTTTTGTTGAACAAGGTCTAAGAACTGCAGTTCAAGCCCCCAGATGTGACTCACACCAGGATTATAAATCTAGTTGGTATTAGCGAGAGCTAAGAAATTCTTCTATGTGGCCTGTCTGATTTCTTGCTGATGGAACTAACTGCACAACTGAATCAAACAATTTAAATACCAGAGGATGAAGGACTGAGCCAATATGCCATATTCCACCAAAAAAATAAAAAAAAAGAAAAAAGAAAAAAAAAATCAGCGTTACAAATGTTCGAGATAGCTCACCTCTGTTAGGTTCCTGGTAAACCTGCACTTTGCCCATCTCCACCCCCAGCCGCCTAGAGAAGAGAAAGGAGGAAAGCTGAAAAGGTAATAGAAGAGACCCAGCAACTTTACTACATAAGGAGACTCATAAATTGGTAGAAGTAAAATGAAGTTATTCTCATTATGAAATTTAAAGAAAGACAATATTAAATTGTGTGTCAGTCCGCTACCCAACCACCTCACCCCACCCCATGTGTACCCAGGAAGGCCTACTGGCTCTGCAGGAGTCTGGCTCTGCCTGCCTTAGTGGCCATCTTCCTCCAGTCCATGTTCCTGAGACACACCAATGCCTGCTCCTGCACACCAAGGGGCCTTGCAACCTGCTTCTTGCTCTGCCTAGAGGGCTCTGCCCCCAAAGACCTTCAGTTAGTGGTTCATTCAGGTTTCCCAATTCACACACCATCACCTCATCCCCAAACTAAAGCAGAACAACCTGCCCCCATCACTACTTTCACACTGTTATCTTCATAGCATTTAGCACCATCTGAAATTCTCTTGTTTGTTTTGTTGAGGTGATCTAAAATGTAAATTTCAGCCTGGTGCAGTGGTTCATGCCTATAAGCTCAGTACTTTGGGAGGCCAAGATGAGAGGACTGCTTGAGGCCAGGAGTTCAAGATCAGCCTGCACAACATAGCGAGATCCTGTCTCTATAAAAAAGGTGAATAAATGAAAATAAATGTAAATTTCATTTAAAAAAAGGGATTTTTGATTGGCTTGCTCACTGTAATCTCAATATCTATATCAAAGTCTAGTATGAAGTATTTGTTCAATAAATATCTAAAATTATACTGAACTATAAGCTATAAACTATTTTCACATAGTTTACACTTCAGTGTTCTTTATACTCAAATTTTAATTCATACATATGTAGCGCCTAACACAATCCCTCGCACTTACGATGCACTCAATAAATGTCTGCCAAATGACTATATAGGGAGTTATAATAGTTTATAAAAGACTAGCCCTTGGCTGGGCACGGTGGCTCATGCCTGTAATCCCAGTACTTTAGGAGTCCAAGGTAGTAGGATTATCAGAGTCTAGGAGTTCAGGATCAGCTTAGGCAACATAGTAAGACCTTGTTTCTACAAAAAAATTTAAAAATTAGCCAGGTATGGTGACATGTGCCTATAGTCCCAGTTACTTGGGAGGCTGAGATGGAAAGATTGCCTAGGAGGTCAAGACTGCAGTGAGCCATGATCATGCCACTACCCTCCAACCTAGGTGACAGAGTCAGACTCTGACTCAAAAAAAAAAGTTTAACCCTTAATATATACAAATGATACACAGTTTAACTATTAAAGTATCCATTTTTAAGTTTAACAATCAATGCTAATTTGATTATCAAATTTAAAACATTACATAATAAATACAGATTTAACTTAATTTTTTTTTTTTTTTTAGATAGGGTCTCACTCTGTCGCCCAGGCTGTTATGCAGTAGCACAATCCTGCCTCACTGCAGCCTCAACTTGCTGGGCTCAAGGGATCCTTCCACCTCAGCTTCCTGAGCAGCCAGGACTACAGGCATGCACCACCACACCTAATTTTTTGGAATTTTTTGTAGAGATGAGGTCTCACTCTGCTACCCAGGCTGGTCTCAAGTTCCTGGGCTCAAGTTATTCTCCCACCTTAACCTCCCAAAGTGCTGGGATTACAGGTGTGAGCCACTGCACCCAGCCTGAATATAGATTTTAATGGTACAATTATAACTTACTCAGCAATTTTCTTTGAAAGCTCCATACACGATGAATTAGAATTTGCTGAAAACAACACCAGACCTCCTTTGGTTATGTTCATCTTGGCTTCTAATTCAGGTGGCGCCACACAAAACATCAAAACCTTCTTGGTTTTCCAATTCTCAGAGCCTAGAAGGGTATAATATATATTAAAAACTGCCATATGAAATGAAATACATCTGAATGCACTTTTTTAAAATAGCAAATGACTTCAGCTGGAGGAAATTAGTTTTCACCATAATGTTTTTTTTTTGTTTTTCTTTTTGAGTCGGAGTCTCACTCTGTCGCCCAGGTTGGAGTGTTTTGGCACACTCCCAGTCACTGCAGCCTTGACCTGCTGGGCTCAAGCAATCCTTACGCCTCAGCCTTCCAAGCAGCTGGAACTACAGGCGCGCGCCACCACGCCCAGCTAGTTTTCACCATAATGATGCCTTTTGTATATTTTCTACATATACATATATATACACAAACAGGAAGTTCATTTGGATTTTAGGGTTCCAAATTTATGGAAATATGTTATCACATGATTTTCATAACCACTGGGAATAAATGATAAACTTACAAGAAAGACGGAGCTGAAGAGCTCAGTGTTTTACTGATTGCTGCTTAAAGTCAATTATGGACAACCTTCTTTTATTCTCTGACAACAAAATTCCTCCTGGATTAACACACAGAAAAATGGCAGAGCCATTAGCAAGGACATGGACTTATTGATCCTTAAACAAAGAATAAATGACCCCTTGACACCCAGTTTTTCCTGTAATCCTGTTTACCATAAAACCTCCCCCTGGCCTGTCAGCTGCCTCTCAGATGCCCTGCATCATATCTAAAACTGACCTTGTCATTTTTGTTTTCCTCACCCAGAACACAAGGTTGACTAGACAATAACCATGAAGAAACATTCGAAGTTACCATCCAAATGACAGGCAGCAGGCCACAAATAAAAAGCACCCTGACTTAGAAGTCATCAGAGCTGAGGTTCTCGTGCCATCCACTCTGGACTGAGCATCCTTATCATGCAACGGTGGTGCTGGATTGGATGAAAGGCAACAATCTAGCAGGCTGTGGGGCATAGGGCCCTTTCCAGCAAGTCCCCTGCGTTCCTCAGTTGTGTGTGTACGTTTACTTGGCATGACAGTGGGAAGGCTGACGGAGATAAAAGGGCTGAAACCAGGCTGATCTTTTTTGTTATTCTTAAATTTTAATTTACACAGGTAAAACACAGACATATCCTCCCTGTAAAAACCTAAAACACGGCCAGGCTCAGTGGCTCAACCTGTAATCTCAGCACTTAGGGAAGTCGAGGCAAGTGGACTGCCTGAGCCCGCGAGTTCAAGACCAGCCCGGGCAACGTGGCGAGACCTGTCTCTACAATAAAATAAACAATAGCTGGGCATGGCAGCCCGCATCTGCTTATTCCAAATTTCAACTACTCAGAAGGTTGAGGCAGAAGAATTGCTGGAGCCCAGAAGGTCGACGCTGGGGTGGCCATGAGCGTGTATGCCACTGCACTCCAGCCTGGACCAAGGAGTAAGACTCCAACTCAAAACAAAAACAAAAACAAACCCACAAAAAAAACCCCTAAAACATGATAGTTAAGGCTAAAGTCACCAGCCCCAATCCCAGGCTCCTCCCCACCCACTTCCCTAAAAGTGAAGGTTCTTATTATTTTGGTTTAGACGTCTGGCCTTTTCTAATTTTTTTTTTTTTTTTGAATCAGAGTCTCACTCTGTTGCCCAGACTGGAGTGCAGTGGCACGCTCCCGGCTACCATAGCCTTGACCTCCTGGGCTCCGGCGATCCTTCCACCTCAGCCTTCCAAGGAGCTGGAACTACAAGCATGTGCCACCACACCCGGCTCATTTTTTTTCTTTATTGTAGAGATAAGGTCTCGCCAAGTTCCCCAGGTTGGTCTCAAATCCAAGGGCTCAGGCAATCTTCTCACCTCAGCCTCCCATAGTGCTGGGATTATAGGCATGAGCCACCATGCTTTTTCACTAAACGATCTATTTGACAATCTGGGTTAGAAGCTATAGACCTATTTTGCTCTGCTGCCCAGTCTTCCACAGCATGATTATGCCATTTTTGCCAGGTCTGAATAGGCCTCCCTGAGCACAAGTGCAAGGGGAATACCAGGTCACAGGGAGCTCACAGTTCCTCCAGCACCTCCTACAAAGGTACCACAGCTCACACAATCCAGGATTGCGCCATGAGAAATATGGCGGACTATGAGGCAGTTTACCTTAAATTTACCTACAAATTACAAACAGAAACGTAAACACAAGTGACCAAAGTCCTAAAATGACCAAGGAGGACCTGGTATCTACCATGGAAGTGGCTTTGGAGTAGATATCAGCAAATTACAGCCCACAGGCCAAATCAGGTCACCTTAAGGCCTGTTTCTGTAAAGCACTGCCACACTTATTTGTTTACAAATTGTCTCTGAACAGAATAACAGCACTGAGTATGGCCCGCAAAACCTAAAATATTATCTGGTCCTTTACAGAAAAAGTTTGCTGATCCCAGCTTTATAGGAAAGTGTAGCATCTGCAAAGGCTAATGAGAATCATGGTAGGATGACTGAAATCAGTGTAAGAAATAACACATTTAATCATCAACATTCAGGGTTGGAAGGGATGTCAGATGACTTCTAAAACGTCTCTCAACTAATATATGCATCTGTGTTTAAGAACACAGGGTGTCACAGGACCAGAAAACAAAACAAAAATAAAACATGAGTTTGACTCATGTTTGTATCTTGAATCCTACTTCCCCTTAAGTCATAGTGAGGCCTAGCTTAAGATACTTAAAATCTCTTAGCCTCAGTTTCCTCATCCATATAATTGAAAACTGACCCTACAGGTTACTGTAAAATTTCTGCAAGGCACTTAATACAGTGCCCTGCATAGAGCGCATGAGCATGCTACATATGAATTGACTTCTATTATCTTGGTTATCTACTGAATGAACACAGTAATATGCGCAGGGGTTCACCTTTTTACATCCCCTGACTTTTGAATAAGAAGTTTCCTGAAGTGTAAGTGTTGTTTTTTTGGGGGGAAGGGGGTTGAGTCAGAGTCTCACTCTGTTACCCAGGCTAGAGTGCAGTGGCACGCTCACGGCCACCGCAGCCTCAACCTGCTGGGTTCAGGTGATCCTTCCGTCTCAGCCTTCCAAGTAGCCGGAACTACAGGCACACGCTACCACAACTAATTTTTTGATTTATCATAGAGACGAGATCTCACCATGTTGCCCAGGCTGGTCACAAACCCCCAGGCTCAGGCAATCCTCTTGCCCCAGCCTCCCAAAGTGCTGGGATTACAGGCTTGAGCCACCGCACCCAGCAACATCCTGTCTTTAAAAATTTGTTTTCTAATGGCTAGGTGTGTGGTATACCCGAGTACTCCCAGCTACTCTGGATACTGAAGTTGGAGGATGGCTTGAGCCAGGCTGCAGTGAGCTATGAGCACATACCTACACTCCAGCCTGGATGACAGACCAAGACTGTCTCTTAAAAAAATCGATTAGCCGGGCTGGGTGGCTCAGCCTGTAATCCCAGCGCTTTGGGAGGCTGAGGTGAGTGGATTGCCTGAGCCCACGGGTTCGAGACCCGCCTGGGCAACTTGGCGAGACCTCATCTCTACAATAAATCAAAAAAAATTAGCCGGGCATGGTAGTGCATGCCTGTAGCAGGTCGAGGTTGCGGTGACTGGGAGCGGCCACTGGACTCCAGTCTGGGCAACGGAGTGAGACTCCAACTCAAAAAAAAAAATCGATTAATTAATTAAATCTAAAAAGAACATGCTT